AAAGCAGCAGGCCGACCAAGCAGGCCAGTGACAGGACCTGCAAGAATCCGCCTTCACAAGAAAATTGGCAGCCAAAGAAAACAAATGAAAAGCTCTACAAAACACATTTCACGAAAAGCAGCAGGCCGACCAAGCAGGCCAATGACAGGCAATGACAAATCCACCGTCAAAAAAAAGGCAGCCAGAAACAACAAGTGAATAGAAAGCTCTACTAAAAACAATCCCATTTCACGAAAAGCAGCAGGCTGACCAAGCAGGCCAGTGACAGGTCGCGCGCGTTACAAAGGCGCTGACGCTTGACAGCGTCTTGTAGTTGTTCATGCTGTTGTTGTTATTGTGGTTGTTGTTGTTGTTGCTAGTTTTTGCGGCTATTGCTGTTGTTCTTGCAAGCCTCCTTGGCGGAGAAAGAGCTGGCACATATGAAGCCCAGCGACGCGGTGCTGCAGTGGCCGGTTGTGCGCCAGCAACGTCAATCCGGCAAGCATCATCCCGAGTAATGTTGGCGACGCACGGCATGCTGGCGATGCGAAATGGAGAGGCTGAGAGGAATTATGGGACATGAAGGGAAATGAAGGGACGCTCAAGGGACATGAAAGGACATGCAAGTAACGCAAGGAAATGATAGTAATACAAAGAAGCTGAAGGAAATGCAGGAATTTAACGGAAAAGAAGGAAATGAAGGGATGTGAAGAGAAATGAAGGGAAATGATGGGGCGAGAAGAGACATGAAGGGAAATGAAGGGAAGCGCAGCAAACTGAAAATTTGGAAGTGAGGCTGAATTGAAGGGAACAGTTTTTGGAAGAGGCACCGGTGGCCGTCTTGTTTTCAAAGCCTGCGCAGATGCGCCGCGGGCAGCCGAAGACGCATGCCGTTGTCGGACACAATAACAGCCAGCGCCGGTGCTATTGTCATACGGGTGTACATTTGGAGTTGGTTGACAAGGCGTCCGAGCAGAAAACCAGCATCCACTGGCTCAACACTCTTTCGGGACGTTTTCCACTTGGTCTGAAAGGGTGCACGTTGCTCCTGGAATGGGTGCCCTATTCAGCGTGTGTATTTTTGGACTACTGTAGTTGACTGAGACAATCATACATGTAATCCGCCGACCCCTTGCCAAAGAGGGGAGGCGCACGGGAAGGGTGGTTGGCATATGAGCATAACCGAAGATTAACCCTCATCAATTACATGAGGGTTATCATCATCCTTTTCTTTTCTTATGCTTACTTATCATCATCATCATCATGGTGATCATCAATCGTACTATCATCGTCATCATCGCCATCTATCTTCGCCATCATCGTTGTCATAGTCATCATCATCATCCTTCATCGTCGGCGTCTTCAAACTCATCATCATCATACCATAGTCGTCATCATGACGCTCCTCATCACCCTTTTTCTTTCTGTATTTTTTCGCTAGTTATATTAATGATATATTTATATATACATTTCAAAAGTGGCCTTAGGCGCAGTTGGAGATGCAAAGGATGCTACGATGATACTTTCGGCATCGTGGAGACGCAGGGGGTGCTACGACGGTATTTATGATCATCATCATGGTTCATCATGGTCATCATCATGACGGTCATCGTGTTGATGCTTCAAGGGGCAGCCTGAGAAATCGCACGCTTTCACATTTATGTAACCGAAATCACAACTTCATCTGTCTCGCTTCGACATTCCACGGGCTTGGAGCCAAAGACCGGGCGTGGACACAGCCCTGCTAAAATAGCTGGCCCTTGTTGTTCGTTGCCCGCGAAAGGACCTCCCCCCCCTCAATTCGGCGGCACAGGGCGGTTTTAAATCCGGGCGCCAGGCAGGCGAGCCCACGCTTTCCTGGAGGCCTTCGGCTTTTTTCAAACCGAAGGTTGATTTATATGCCGCGCCCCCTGCCGCCGACCCACCCCGTGTTCACCCCCTGCTCACCCCCGGTCGATTCCGGCTCACCCCGATTCACTCCGTGTCGAAACCTCGCTGCCAGGGAGGAAAACGTGTTCGGCTGCATTTTTTGAAAAAAAAAGGAGTAGCATAGCCAAGGTCCACATCCATGGCGGACATTGATGCGGATAATGCCGGTGACGCGGGGGATCCATGGCGGACATTGACGCGGATACCGCCGGTGATGCAGGGGATGCTGGGGCTGTTGTCCCCTAAGTCGGGCCAGTTTGGCCGAACACGTGGAAAAACAGTGTTTTTGGAAGGTTTTGGGCGGGCGCAAGCGTGGAAAATATGGAAGCGTGCTTAGCAGGCAGGCCTCAACTTGATTTTTTGGCAGGATTTTCGGTGAACCCGACAAAAAACACTGGGTTTTCGAAAGTTTTATCTGGATTCTAGGCCGGGCGCACGCGTGGGAAAATGTGGAAACCTGCTTAGCAGGCAAGGCTCAACTCTCCCCGACCGAACAGTAGAAAAAACCACGTTTTTGATGGCTTTGTATGGATTTGCGAACTTGCTGGCAGACCCTGGGTTTTTTCAGGCTTTTTGGTGGGCGCGAACGCAGAAGATGTGGACACCTGCTTAACAGTCGGCCTGCACCGGTCTCTTGCCAAATGGCCTGGGAGATCCGCGACGTTAAAAACACGTGGTTTTTACGTGGTTTTGGGCCTTGACGAGCATGTGGCTGACATCATCAGGGTCTGGGGTTGGGCCTGGGTGATGCTTCAGCGGGGCTTGGTCTGCATCATCAAGACTTCCTTCCAAAAGCCCCCCAACCCATGAAGCACTGTTTTTTAGAAGGTGTCGGAGGGATATAAGCGAGGCTCATTTGCGCGCATTTTAGCGGCAAGCGCTGCCGGGCATGCCGGCGATGCTGGGCCCTCGCTCTAAAAAACGCTGTAAATACCGTCAAAAACTGCTGCGCTGAGCGTTGGGCTGTTGTTCTGTGCGTTTTGGTTTCGCTGTGGCTGGCTCGCGTGCTGCGCGGTCCTTGCTTTTTTCGCGTTGGTTTTCGAGCCTTCTGGCGCGCGCGCGCGCGACCCCAGCCACAAAACGCTGCTATTTACGGTGTTTTGTTGCATTTAAGTTTCCGGGCTGGCTTGCGGGCTGCTCTTTTTGGGCTGCTCTTTCTGGGGCCTCTGGCGCGCGCTGACATGACACGGTATAACTTCGATGCGTAGCCGGCTAGAGGCCTGCGGACCCAGAAAATGCTTGTATTTACGACCGTTTCATGTACGTGCTTGCTGACAGTACATAAAAATAAGATTTGGTTTTCACTCCTTTACACATGTTTTGGCTCCACAGCCCCACACACAATCGTTGGATGTTGCGATCGTTTGATGTACGTACTAGCTCGAACCTGGAACTTTGTATTTGGATGCGACTGCCTTCTCAATCTTATCTGTGTTACTGGTTTATGATATATGTACTGGTCAAGACCAGAAAGACAACATTTGTAGTTTATATGTCTTTGGCTGTTTCGTTTTTTCGCACCTGTCACAACAAAAGCAAACACAACAAAACAAAGGAACGCCAACCCCACAAGAACAGCAGCAACGACGACGACAACAACAACAACAAGGACAACCGCAACCACAAGCAGCACAACAACAACAGAAACGATTGCAAGGTGGACTTTGTTGAGGGCCTGTCACTGGAACATCACCAACACTTCGACAAGAAAGAACTCGCGCGAACACGCACGCAGACACGCGAACACACCGCGCGCGCGCACGCCTGCGGAGCACAGCACCTGCAGAGCGCACACACGCGCGCACTCACGCAGCATGTCAACACCCCTGCGTTTTCCCGGTGTTTCAAGGCTGCAGCAGGACGCCGTGTGGAAAGCTCCCAGCAACATCCCCAGCATCACCAGCATGACCCGCATCACCGGGGCAAGCCCGCAGACTCGCAAGCCCAAGGTTGCAGAGAATCAGACCAAGAAACAAGCCCAAAAACGCACCCGGAAGCAAATGAACGTCATTTTCCTCTTCACCGCATTACCGGGTTGGCCTCAAGAGCCTTGCTCCAAAGGACCAGGGGAGGGTCTGACACAGCCGTTCGGCCAGTTGGCTGGATAAGGCCGTTCGCCGCATGCCGCCGACCTGAGAGGACCTAGTGCAGAACAATTGCGCTGCGCCACAATATGGGGCGAAGGATTTGTGGATTTGCGCAAATGGTTTTTGACGCAAACTGCAGGGACACACGCAGAGAATGGAGAAGCATGAAGGAATGTTAGGCGAAATGAAAGGGGAACTAAAGCGAGTTGCAGGGAACTGAAGGGAAATGATTGCAAATAAAGGGAACTGGAGGGGGAAGGAAACCAAATGAGGGAAGCGAGAGGAAACTGAAGGGGAAACGCAGGGGCAAGGAAAAGGGAATGAGAAATTACGCGAACTAAGAGGATTTGAAGGGAATTGAGGGAAGGGGCTGCAAATGAAGGGAAGTGAAGGGAGCTGCAAGGAAGTGAAAGGATTTGTCAAAAACATAGGGAAGGGCAGGGTTGCCGGTGGCTGGCTGTGTCGCGTCAGCGAGAAAATACATATGTGTAATTCGCCTCAGATTTCAGTTCGGATCTTCCAAACCTCGCCCCCGCCCCCGCGTGAGAATTGTTGTCCAATTTTCTGGAAGGGCCAAGAAACGGATCTGGAAAACGATCACATCTAGAAACCGGTCAAATCCTCTTAAAAGCAGTTCCGGTCAAATCATTTAGAACCATTCAATTTCCTACCGGAAACCACTCAAACCCCCGTCCAACTCTGGCCAACCCCCCCTAAAACCATCACATTCCTCTCTACAAACAGTAGAAAAATCAAATCCCCCCTAAAAACTGTAGAAACCGGGCACCCGGCCACCCTCTAAAAACTCCGGCGAAATCCCCCTAGAAACCGGTAAAACTCCCCGCAGTTTTGTTCTCTTTTGTTGGACCTCAAAAAATGCAATTTCGTTGGACGGCACCAGCGAATGGATAAACTTTTGATCTGGGGAAGTGACCCACTTGAAAACGGTTGCCAGCGCATGTTTAACCGCCGGCTTTCATCCCCGTCCCCATCTTCGGGCTCAGCCTTCGGCCTCTTAGGGGCAAAAGGAGCTGCTCCAGGTAAGGCTCCTCAGCTTTCAGCACCCAACCAAAGGAGGCCGCGTCGCTGCTCCACATCCTCGCGTTCGATGCATTTGCGGGGCGCTGTCTATTGGGGTCTCCATTGTGGAAAGGGTCCGCCCGACATGACCTACTTGTATGGGTGGCCCGAAAGCATAAGCAGCGGCAGCAAGGTCTCCTAGCAATCCTAGCAAGTTCTCCGCGCAGTTGCGCGTCTGAGCAAGCTGTTGGCGCGAGTTCCTCTGAGCAAGTTCTCCAAGCAAGTTCTCCAAGCAAGTTCTCTCACAAGTTGCTCTGAACAAGTTTCCTCTATTCGCGAAACACTTTCGTACGTAAAGTCAGCCGGAGCTGCGAAAGTTTACTTCGCGTGCTACTTCGGCACTGAAAAGTTGCGATATTCCAGCCGGAGCAGCGGAAGTTTACTTCGCGCACTACTTTCGTACTTAGAAGTTGCGATTTTCCAGCCGGAGGTGCGAAAGCTTATTACATCGCGTGCTACTTTGGTACTGAAAGTTGCGATTTTCCAGCCGGACTTCGCGTACAACTTTCGTACTTAAAAGTTGCGACTTTCCAGCTGGAGCTGCTGGAGAGGACGCGGACCAGGGGGAATCGGACCCGCGACCGCGGGATTGCGAAAGCAGGCGCGCAAACCACGAGACAACTTCCAAAGGCTATTTCGCGAGTAATTAAACGACACGCACGATCTCCGCAGAGGGTTCGCCGAGACTAAAACGAATTCGCACGGCTCCACAGCGAAACAGCGAGAGCCGTCGACACGCATGATCCCCGCAGAGGGTTCGCCCGCGCACCGCAAAAAACGCAAAAACACCTCGAGTTTTTATACCTCGACCACGGCGATCCCCGCAGAGGGTTCATCCGCGCACCGCAAAAACGCAAACAAACCTTGAGTTTTTGCACCTCGACCACGCCGATCCCCGCAGAGGGTCGCGCGGGCAGATCAGAAATCGTCAAAACCACGGCGATCCCCGCAGAGGGTTCATCCGCGCACCGAAAAAAACGCAAGAAACCTTGAGTTTTTGTACCTCGGCCACGGCGATCCCCGCAGAGGGTTCATCCGCGCCGCAAAAACGCAAAAAAGACCTCGAGTTTTTGCACCTCGACCACGCCGATCCCCGCAGAGGGCCGCAAACCCGATCGACGATCAAAGTCCTGCGCCGGCGCCCTAGGAAGCTAAACTTAACTTACATTGCCTGCTGACGCCGAAGCGCTATGCGCTTGGCTCTATGCACTCGGCCTCATGCCCTCGGCTCTATGCGCTCGGCGCTGTGCGCTCGGCTCTATGCACTTGGCTCTATGCACTTGGCTCCGTGCGCTTGGCTCTATGCACTTGGCTCTATGCGCGGGGCTTTATGCGCTGGGCTCTACGCACGGCTCTATGCACTTGGCTCCATGCGCTTGGCTCTATGCGCTCGGCTCTACGCACTCGGCTCTGTGCGCTCGGCTCTATGCACTTGGCTCTACTTGCACTTGGCGCTATGCGCTTGGCTCTATGCACTTCGCTCTATGCACTTGGCTCCATGCACTTGGCTCTATGTGTTTGACTCTGCGCAAGTGACTCTATGCAAGTTGGTCCGAGAGCTCCTGGCTCTATGCACTTGGCTCTATGCACTTGGCTCTATGCACTTGACTTGGCTCTACGCACGGCTCCATGCACTTGGCTCTATGTGTTTGACTCTGCGCAAGTGACTCTATGCAAGTTGGTCCGAGAGCTCCTGGCTCTATGCACGTGGCTCTATGTGCTTGGCTCTACGCGCTTGGCTCCATGCACGTGGCTCTATGCGCTCGGCTCTGTGCGCTCGGCTCTGTGCACTCGGCGCTATGCACTTGGCTCTATTTGCGCTTGGCTCTTTGCACTTGGCTCTATGCACTTGGCTCTATGCACTTGACTTGGCTCTATGCACGGCTCTATGCACTTGGCTCCATGCGCTTGGCTCTATGTATTTGACTCTGCGCAACTGACTCTATGCAAGTTGGTCCGAGAGCTCCCCGCAGAAGAACCCTTCGCGACGCTTTCGGGAAAAACCATCTTTTTTTCCCTCCTTTGCCTCGTTTGTTTTGCAAGCTCAAGTCGATGGAAGTGGATGGGAGGCTGGTCAATCAGGGGTCGTTGGGGCCACCACCTTTCCAATCGGAGGCGCTGATGACCATGCTGGGCGAGCATCCGGCGGAAGGCCAGGCCATCCCGAATGTTGGTGTCATCGAAGATGGCGACAGCGACCTGTCTTTCTTGTCCGCCCTCTGCCTCCCGCCCGAACCTCCTGCAGAGCCTGGGACGAGTCCCAGGACTCATTCCGGGACAAGTCTTAGGACCTCTGGCTACCCTGTTCAGGAAGTTTCCAACATTTCACATGTTTGCCGTTCAATACCTAAAATGGGGGCGCAGGCTCCATTTCACGGGCGCTTTGGACGAAAACCCTTTCAGAGATGGTACCCGACATAGGACCAAGACATGGCCCCCCAGACCTCCAACCCGCACCTCAAATTAGCCGAAAGGGTGGTAAACCGTACAACAAACACCAGTCTCCAGCTTTGGTACTTTTTGGATTGTGTCCAACGCCTAGCCCGAACCACATTCACCAGCGGTCCCATTTTCCCTGGCGATCCTCCTTCTGTTAAAAAGTGCCAACGCCCGGGAAATTGCGATGGCTTTAAAAAGATGGCTGAACAGACCCGTGGCTCGTCAACCTTCAGAACAGCCTCGAGAATGAGCCAATGTGTTAGGCGCAAAAAAAGCCGTTTTGCGCAACAGGGGCAAACATCACGACGCGCCCAAGCAGCCCTCGGCGCAATCTTCTTGTAGACTTCATAGGCTTCAAAACGCTTGAGGCCATCGAAAATAACTGCTGCACGGCGCCATGGATGCATCTCCTCGCACACTTGCAGTCGCCAAGTCGTTGAAAGCCATTGCCAACCCCGGTCTGCAACATCGTGGTCTGCGTGATAACTGGCCCTGAATTTAAGTCGTACTTTTATAGCGAATTATGCCATTGTAGCATCTGGTCTTCCAAGCGCAAGGATCAACGTTTCCAGAGTTGGCCTGAACACTCCAAAAGGACCACTCCTTGAAGCCGAAGCCTACCCCCGTCCCTCTCCTTGAGGATTTGGGGCAAAGCCTCCCGGCTGTCGCCGTCGTGGAGCCGGACCCCAAATGCGCCGAGGGTTTCCTTCACGTGGCCCAAAGGCAGCATTTCCACACTAGTCACCTGCCAAAACACACCAGCTCTGGGAAAACCAAGTCTACTCCAAAACCACCTCCGCCTGGCCATAACTCTTTTGGGCGCTCACATGAGTCTTGGACTTGGCAAAACCCTGGCGAAGGCGAACGTTGCAGGCAAAACCAACAGGACACGGATTGAACCAAGCGATCTGTCCCAGCTGTGAAGATACCCGAAAAGTTCTTGACGCCAGACCACGGCCAAAACCCACACCCAGCCGTGAGACACCAAAACCGTGTCTTGGAAGTTTTCTGGTCATAAACCAAACAAAGGCTCAAAAACCGGCCACAGTTCTCCTTCGAATCTACCCTGGACACCGGCCAAGGATAGCCCAGCGCAAGCCCCAGCCCACTGCCGTGGCTCTTGTTCTAGCCCTTGACGCCCCCCTTCAAGGCAAACACAAACACAGTACCCCGACGCCAGCCAAACACACTGGCCAAGGCGAGCACCGCGAAGCTTTCACAAAAAAACCTAAGGACCATCTGTCACCCAGACGTTGGCGCCCAAGCCCTCCCCGAGGTGCAAGCTGCACAGCTAGCCACAACCTGGAACCTCCAACCCGATGGCTGTCCACATTCAACGGAGCAAGACGTGTTCCAAACATAAGCACCATGTTGTTTGCAAATGCAGACCACAATGCGGCCAACATTCCGAGAAGCACATAAGAGAGAACTAAAAGCAAACGGCGCAAGGACCAACAGATGAAAACAGGAAGGCGAACAGGAGACCTGTTCTAGGCGCAGAGCGCACGTTTTAGCTAGCAAGTTGACTTGGTTGTGAGAAACATCCAACTGCGCCGGTTAGGTGGCGGGGTCGGTGTAAGTGGATTCTCCCCATAGATTCTGGAGGGAAACAAATTCCGTGGAAAACGGTTTTTTTCGTTCTCCCCGGTAAACGGTAAAACGGCAAAGCACGTCCGAGGAAAGGCTTGAGGGGGGATTTGGGCTCCTGCTGTGCTTGGGCTTTTGTTTCAGCATCCGGAGATGCGCTTTCTGACCTTTGAGGCCCATGAAATAGGTTCCGGCCAAGACAGAATGTTGTTCGCACCAGAGCGATCAGTAATCTTGCAAGAGGCAGAATACTCCTGGAGTACCGGAACGATTGGCGCTCTTTTGCCACCAAGGGGCTGAGCCACGAAATTGCCCAAGCCCCCTTTTCTCAACTTCCCAAACCACAGGTATATTGGGAACAGCCGTTGCTCTTTCCCACTGCACATGAGCAGGACCGAAGAAGCAAGCAAGCATTGAAGAACATTATGTTTACCCCAAGCTGAACACCGCTTAATGAATAGGGGCGCCCTATTACTGAGAAACCTTCACCCCTGTCGCGTCTGCCAACCCCCGCCGTTTATCTGTATCTATATCTATATCCATCTCCTATCACGCCTGCCTTCTGCTGTCTTATCCTGTCTTGTCCTACCATATCCAATATTATCCTACCGTATCCTGTCTTATCCTCTGCGTCCATCTGTCTATCCATCCATCTATCTAGAGTATCTATAATACCTGTCCTATCTGCCCTACTTATTTATATAATGGCTATCTATATGGCACATCTTATCTATCTGATCTATCGTATGTGTCTTATTTGCCTTGTCTAGCATATCTTCCAAAATCTATACTATCTACCTTATCTTGTTTATCATAGGGCACCTTATCCTGTGTTGACATATCTTATCGTATCTTATCCTGTATGAACCTACCTTGTCCTAGCTATCCCATGTTGACCTCTATCACCGTGTCTTATCCTACCTTGGCCTATCTTCTCCTATGTATCTATCAATCGGTTTAGATATACATATATGTATCGCTCTATCTATCTCTGTCTATCTGTCTACTTATATCTCTATCCTACCCTGTCTTCTCCTACCTCATCATGTTGCCCTATCTTACCCTGTCTTATCCTATCTTATCATATCTTATCCCGTCTTATTGTCTCTTGTCCTATCTTACCCCATGTTATCATTAGTGATTACATTGTTTTGTTCTATATGTTCCTATCTTATCCTATGTATCTATCGATATATCTATCTACCAACCTACCCACCTACATACTTGTCTATCTTGTCTATCCTATCGATCCTGTCCATCTCATCTATCCTACCTAGCCTATCTATCCTGTCTATCCTATCTATGCATCCTTTCGACCCCTATCTGTCCTATCTGTCCTATCTATCCTATCTGTCCTATCTGTCCTATCTGTCCTATCTCATCGTAGCTGTCTTGTCTATCTTATTTTATCTTGGCGATATCATGTATGTCTTATCTATCTTATCTGTATCAATCACCTCTACGGTCTTTTTTTTATCATATACTATGCTGTCTTCTCATATCTTAATTTATCTTTTCTTGTGTTATTCTATCTTATCCCATCATATTCTATCTTATTCCAAGGTGTCCTGTCTTCTCCTGTTTTACCCTATATCATGTCTTATCTTGTCTTATCCTATCTGATCCTATGTATCTATCCATCTACCTACCTATGAATTCTATCTACCCTATATTTCCTATCTATCTCAGCGTGTACAGCTTGTCTATCGTTTGTATCCTATCTATCTCATCTATTTTATGTCTTATCTACAGATCCTACCTATATCATCTACCTTGTCTACCTTACTACCTTTGCATTGTCCTGTCTTAGCCTACCTTAGCCTATCGTATCTTATCCTATCTTCTCCGACCTTACCCCGTATTAGCCTATCTTACCGCGTCTTATCCTATATTATCCTACATTATCCTGTCTTATCCTATCCTATCCTATTCTATCGGGAAAAAGCTGGCTTTTTTAAAGGTTACACAGAACCGACCAGGAATCAACCCCTAGAAAGGGCATCATGCTGCGCGCTGAAAAACGGTAAAACGGTAAAACTGTTTTACCGTTATACCTAAAACATGAGAAGCGGACCTGTTAGCACCTACTCCGCTCCAGCTTAGCATCCTTTTGGCGATGCCAAACTGTCATCTCAAATTAACTCCCTTGCAACATCCAACCACTACAGCAAGTGACCTGAAGCCGAAGGAGCAAAATGGCCTCGAAACCATGCAACGCATAGACAAGAGCGGAGAGGCCCCCGTAGCGGCCATCTTCAATCACCTGACAGGAGTAGACGTGACATCCCCACAACAATGAATAGCGTCTGATACTACGGCAGACTGGCAGGATTCATATTGCAGCCAAATCTAAGTACTTGACCCGAACCAACAAGGTTGCATAGTTCGCGCAAACAAGAACACGAAGCGCAGGCGTACATGCCAAAACTGTCACTTTGAAACCACTGCCAACTCTCACCTTGCAAACCTGCCTGCCGGGTCGCGCTCACAAAAACGTTGCACAACCACACACCCGCACATACACAAACACAGAAATCACACTCAAGCACAAGCAGCAAAACACGGGGAAACCAAGCAACCGCAAGACCACTCCAACAAAAACAAACCAGAGAACAAACATGCTGGCAAGCGAAACAAAACACAACACATTCAAATATGCAAACACAACACAACAAACAACACAAAACAAAATCGAGCAACACAAAACACAACACATTCTAACAAACAAACAAGGCAAAAAAAAAACAAAAACAGAAGAACAAACAGAAAACACAACACACAGCACAACAATCATGCTCGCACAATCAGAGGCGCGCTTGCCCCCACACTTCGGCACGCACTTCTGGTGCACACAAATGGGACGACGTGCGCACCTGCGAGAGCAAATTTAAGCATCATCAGACTAAAGAAATACATATATCAACGCACTTGGCCAGGTAGGACCTCAGCGGCTGGTGAAGGTTTGTGGTTGCTTGGTTTTGTGCTCCAATCCATCTTCGACATCCATCCACGGCAGTCAAATCTGGATTTTCGCCAGCCGGCCTGAGCGTTCCACTGTTTGTGTACTACAGCTTCTCATCAGGTCAGGTCTCTGATGCAGGGCAACAACGCCCTCAATCGGTGGTTTCCCTTTGATTTCCCATTGATTTCCCTATCGGTACCAACGTCAAGCAAACAGGTCCCTCAAATGGAACTACAAACGTCAGGACCTGCGGCAGGTCTGATTGGTCCTGAGTTTTGGGCAAACCCCGTTTTCCGTAGCATGGATATGAATCTGAATTGAATTGGGGACCCTTTGGTGGCCATCATCGACATGGTTGGATTTATGTCCACCAATCATGTTTGAAGGGTGTATTTCTTTTTGTGTCCCTGCCATACATTCTTTGAGCTCCCTGCCATACGTTCTTTGAGTTGAAACAGAACGCTTGGAAGGTGCCGCTTGGCCTGCGTGACGTTGAGGAACCGCAACAAGGCCACCGCCGCCAGCAGCTTGGCCGGGCGCATGTCCCCGAAGAGGCACCCCGAAGTGCTCGGGGCCAGGCAGGCGCAGTCTTGGTTAGCTCGAAAAGTGCCGGTCCTTAGGCGCTTTGAAGCAAAGCACTTTAAGCACTTTAAGCACTTTAAGCATTTCATGGAATAGGCCAGCCCAAAACTCCGTTGCGGGCGATGCGCAAAACCAGCAAAAGGTAGCAGTGTTGGCCTATTGGGGGTTACTGCTGGCTTCAATTGGGGGGCAAACAAAACTGATCCATGGAGAACTGGAGCCATGAGTTTAACTGGTGATTGAAACACCCAATTTGCTCACCTGCTGAATTGCTCATCGCAAGCGACCCAATTAAAGGGGAATATGAACGAATCCATTCCTGATTGATCGAGCTGCAAGCTTGGAAATGTGTGAGCAACGTGCACACAGCGGTCCATCAAATGCTTCAATTGTTCAAGTCTCCAACTTCATCATACCCGCTTCAGTTCAATACGAAAAATTGGATAAGTCCACAAGTAAGAAGCCTTGAGCTGTCTCCTGTTGGTTTCCGCTTAACTTAACGGACCAACCAGCATGGCGTCCCACCAATGATCTGAACCATTTTGATATGAATCAGTTCAACTAGCTTCCAGCAGAAACACTTTTTTGGTTCTTGCTAGGTGAGAAAGTTTCGCCATTGTCCAAAAGGCTTGAAGGTTACTTCGGTCAAGACAAAGAGCGCGGTGGAACGTGGCAAGCAGGTTTGCGGGCAACCCAGAGATTGCTTGCCGGCGAAAAAACGACAGCAACAAAATAGCTGGTCGTAGATCGAACTTCACCCAAAACAGTATACTTTTAGCCGCATCGTCAGGTTCTCTGGCTCACCGTTGATGAATCCTCTCTCCGCACCCCGGGGGTTCACAGCTTTGGACATTGAGCCCTCCACGTGAAAACACCAGCACTGCTCGTCGATCGCGCATTGTGGTGTGTAAGGTACCCAGTTCCGCATCCTTGGCTGCTTGTGTTGCTTGTTTGGAGCTTAAAGGGAGATGTGTTTGCAGTTGTTTGCAATAGCCATCATGCCATCTCGGGGGGAAAAAAACAAAAAAAAACACCTCTGCATAAAAACGCTACGGGCACCGCCGAACAAAAACAGCTTAGAACACGCATTTGAGTTGCACATTGTGCCAAGCATCACGTCGGAGGTTGGACTCTCCGGAAAAAAATACTTCCAAAGGCTCTCATTAGCCTTGGATGCCTTGGTCAGGTTCCGCATAAGCTGAGCATTCAGTCGTAATTCGCCTTCTGCCGCAGGGAAGAGCAGCAACCATTGAATACGCATCGAAACATTCAGTTCGATGAATGGTAATTAAGCTGCAAACCAACGCCTCTGCCTGACAAACCCTATGCCTGACAAACACACACACACACAAAAACAGCTCATACAACCAGCATCTCATTCCGAGATCCAGGTCCGCCACATACAACTCTAGCCGTCCGGACTTTGTGCCTTTAAGTTGCTCACATGAAGTCACCTTACCCCCAAATTGGTGGTGTAGAGACTTGTGTTTCTGTGTGTGTTCCCTTGAGTGGATGCAACGGGTCTTTCGCCCTGTACACTTTGAGCCTAAACGGAATCAAGGGCAGAGCCATATGTATGACAATCGGAAGCCGGAAGGGTTAAAGGCGTGCTTCACTCAAAAATTCACAAAACCAAACATGTCTAATGAAAACACTCTAATTGAACACACGGCTTTGAATTAAGGAACCTTGTGCAAATGGAGCGCTTCTGGCAGAGTTTTCCAAACGAGGTCGGGCGCCAGTTCTCCCAAACAAGCCGCTCCAATAGGCGATGCCCTTTTGGCCCCCCTTCTCCGGCGGCCCCGGCCCCTCGCACATTGAGGTCTACCCCAAAACGATGCACTTCAAACTAGCCAGTCCTGGCTTCCACAAAACGAAAACACACACACACACACTCATTAGACCTGATGCGCACTCGTCTCTCTGCCTCTCAAACCATTTCTCAACATACTCAAATTCAACAAGTTGAGGAACGGTTGAAGCTTTCAACTGGCATGTCAAGTTCGTCGCAATCTGCGTCTTTCGGTTCTTCATAGCATGTGGCCAGAACCGTTTCAAATCACTGCCAAGCGTCGCGCTGATACCGTTTGAAGGAGAAACCCAATTGTGACGTCCCAGTTGCGGGGATATGCAAACCTTCAACCCCTTTCGGGGGTGCCAACTGTGTCGATGGCGCTTCTGCTCCTGAGTCCCCAAGGCTTACCCTGGGACGCTTTCAGGCGCCAAAATTGGGTGACGAATGGCCCAAAAAATGGCGCCGAAAAGGGTGTCTTCAGAACGCCTGTTGGGATCCATGGGGAATCTGCGCCTCGCAGCGGGTGGTCGCGGCGCTCAGCTCCTCTCGAAGCTTGAGCT